GCAGCAGAGGGCGCTCTCCAAACCCCCCCCCCAGCCTATAACGGGGGCGGCTCCGGAGCCCGCCTCCTTCCTGTTCGCCGCCCAATGGGCGGTGAACAGAGGTGTGAAGATCCCGCCTCCCCTCGCTTCTCGTCCAATGAACGATGAGGAGCCCCGTCGCGCCCGCCGGCTGATGTCTCCCACCCGAGAGCCACTGAGAAGCACGCGGAGAAGCTCGCCCCTCGCCCCGCCCCTCCGGCCGCGGCCTCAGGCCGGGGTCTGTCCCCGGGGCCGGCGCTCGGCGCGGATTCGTCCGAAAATAACCCGGCCCCAGCGCTTTGTGGCTTTTCCACCTTGCGGCCGAACTCGCACCTCTGGCCCTCACGCGGGTTGGGATCACCTGTAGGGGAAAGGCTTCCCAGCCTCACCGAGCCGCTGCCGGCCTTTCCCCTGGCTGCCTCTGTGGAAGGCAGCGGTCGGCCATCGCTGCCCTTGGCCTTAGCCGTCCCCCCACGTGCCTCCGGAGTGACTTCGTGTTACACAAGCAAGGCAGACCGCTGTTCATAAAACTGCCTTGTGGCCTTGATCCTTCTGATTTTGTCCCTGCCTGACATGCTGTTTTGTTATACTTTGGAATAACGGTGTCTCCTCCAGCTCCCGCAAGTTTTGCCACTGCGGAGGAATTCCACGTCCAGCTGATCATGCACAAGGTTGGTGGACTTGAGCATCTCGAGTATGATTAATAAAGCTATAAATGATTTAAAGGACATTTCTTAAGTCACGGCCCCACTGTGATGGCAAAAGCCACTTTCCAGGGCTCTGTTATTGGAAGGGACGGATGTTCTTTGCCAGAGCTCTGAGGCTTTTACATCTTTTAGTTAAGAAACAAATGCTGGATTTAGCTCTCATAATCCACCTGCTTCTGTCCCGGGAGGGAGCTCTTCAGAGCAACACACATTCTCACAATTACTGCGTCAGTGTAATCGCAGCCTCTTGCATTGGCAACAATTAGAATACCTATGCGCTTTGTGATTAATCACCTCTTCCACTAATGGCTGTTCTTAAGCCATCCTCATCAGGTTAGGAAATGGAAGTTGTTGCACTTCCACTGCTCTCCATTCTGTTGTAAATTTGGCTGTTTTGCGCAGCTGGAGATAGAGCTTGCGACTTCACATTTCTTCTTCTGAATGTAACCTCGGGTTTCCTGTTTGATGGGTGTTGAGCCCTGTCGCTCAACAGCCTGATCGAAACGTCTTGTCGTACGCACTCTTTGGTTTGGCATGGAGGGAAGCAGATCAGAAACTTTGGTGGCTGAAGTGAGTGAGGAAGTCGTTTATACTTCTGTCAAATTCTCTCAGACTCCTCCGCCGAGGGCCAAAGCTGGATGGGAAATGAGAGGTAAGGAAGCTGGATGAAGTACGTCAACAAAAGATTTTATTTCAAGCAAAAGCAAGTTCTAACAAAAACACTCTGAGCTGGCCATTGACTTTGTGTACCAGCTCATGGTGCTGTTGCTTTTGTTCTAAAATTACCATATTTTATTGTGATAAAAGCTGATGGGTCAGGCACCCAGCATTGTTCCCCTCCCTCTCTCTGTCAGACCCCTTTTGGTGTTTACTCCTGGGCGTTCAACGCAGGCATCCTTTTCTCTGAAAGAGGTTTGCAGTTTTAAAGTTGTCTGCTTGTCAGCAATAAGAGATTGTCAGCAATAGTTCTTTGAAGGGCAGGCAAGATGTGAGTACAGATAAATTAGAGGCGTATGCTAATCAGAGATCAGAGACAGAGGAGGCATATGAGATCATCCAGTCTCTCTCCCGTGGGGCTCTGCAGGATTCTTTTGTGATATATTTTTTTCCTGTGTTTTCTCTGTCGTAGTTTTACAGACTTGCCAGTGAGCAAATTTTCAGCTTTTGCCTTGAGACAGTTCTGCAGGGCATTTTACTACCAGGAAGATTTTTCTTAGTGCTTTCCTTAAATTTTCTCTTCCCTTATTTCTGCTCCATTCCCCCTGTTCAGGCCTTGCAAATGTCACACCGAGCAATTTCTCTGGCTGCTTAATTGAGAAATACCACCATAGAAGAGTGAGATTTTGCATTGATGATCATTCTTTGTAAGCGTTTCCTGCCCATGAGCTGATTGCTTTTCCTCTAAATGCCTGTGTGCTTTAGATGAGTTGTGTTGCATTGGCTGCAACACTAATGGTTCACCTTAGCTTTTTTCAGAGCTGTTACAGCAAAGGCGGGCTCTTGCTCTGGGATACAAGATTTCTGTACCCTGATCTGAATAACTGCACACATCTGTGGTTGTTACTGCTGCCTGGTCACTTACTGCACTATGGAAACAAAGCCAACACAGAAACCCCCAAGTTCCTATCTGGTAATCACACTCGATCTGCTTGGAAGGCAGTCTTGCTTTTGCATGTGTTTTCATCAGAAATGATGTTTTCTGTTGCATCAGATAACACAGGGACATCCCTTCATTCCCTGCCATTTGTGTTCACTCCTGCCCTGTTGGTGGTGATTACTCAATGCCCTCTTGAGATGTTTGCATCTTTTTTTTAATATTCCTTCTCTCCAAATTCCTTTATGTACCCTCATCTTTTTCAGCTGAAGTCTGAGGGCCTAAAATAAGGAAGCTGATCTTTGAACACACTTTCTGTGCATATTATTTGATTATTTCCCAGCTCTCTTCTGCGTGCGAGGAGTCCCTAAGGAGCACAGTTTAAGTACCTTTCCTTAGAAGATCTTTATTTTCAACTCTGTCTCCGCCTCCATCACTTTTGAGAGATGTGCTCTCAGGTATTTCATCTCTGTTTTCAAATGCACACTCTTGCTAGCAAGTCATCCCTGTGATGCAATATCACAGGTATATCACAGGTGTATACATCAGTCCGCTGGTCAAACCAACGGGTTTTGGCTCTCATGGACTCCTCGAAAATGAAGAGTTGCCCTGGCTGTCTTCTGTTTGGCTTCCAGAGAGCCTTAGATATGCCACACTACCAAAATGTCAGTCCAGCAGTCACTTAAGACAGTGTTAGCCTGTGTGGCATGCTTGTAGTAACAGCGACAACCAGGTCTGTGCCAAGGTCTGTGCCATAGCCGAGGACAGGATCCTCATTTCTTAAATCCTCCCCCCTGGCCCTAGGTAGTCATGCTGCTCCCATACTGACGTGGGCAGGAGCTGATGGGAACTATCTGGGACAGCTCAATGACATTCTTCAGATTGTCCTAGAAGGCTTGAATTATAAAATGCTAACCGCTTTCGGTTTTTGAACTGAATCTGAACTCCCAAACCTAGAAATATTGGGTCATGTTGCTTGCAGATGAATGCAGCGTATCACAGTCATTTCTCCAGAGCACTGACAGACCTAACTGGGTGTTTTGTATACTAGAAAGTTATAACACTGGATATTTACATTAAATGTCCACGGGTCCACTTCTCCCTTCCCTTGGGGAAACTCCTCCACAGTTCCTCAGACAACTACATGGAAATATTTCTGGATGCTCCATTAAGATTTCCTTCCTCAGTTTCAAACTCATCCCAGGCACTTCTCCTTTCCTCTTCTACAAGAGCTTCACATGTGCTCCAGGAGCTGAGGATCAAGCACAAACTCCTGAACTTGTTTTAAAAAGGAAGAACTGCAGGGACTCCCTTTTGCAAGGAGTAAAAATCCCGATTTATGAAATTTTTTATTTCACTTCCCTGGGTTGATCACTACCGTTCAAGTGAGGCTCAAATTCACCTTGAACACTTCAATATGACTTGCCCTCTTCACTCTCCTTTTTCCTCCCAAAATTATCTAATGGCATACTTTTTCATTTTTAAGAACTGAGGTGAACTCTCAGTTCCTTTTTTCTGCAGTTGGTTTGAAACAACAGAGAAGGTGAACTGCTCTATTCATTGCCAGGAGGCACCAGCTCGGATGCCCGGTTCTCACACTTAAGGATTAACTGTCATCCCAGTCGCCTTGTCCTGGAAGTAGTTTTCCCTAAAATCCAGAACAGTGATGTGGAGGACACAGGAGATAGTTTCTTTGAGAGGCAAGAGAGGAAGGAAAACAGAAGTGCAAATCCTCAGAAATGTGGTCTCAGAACAAAGTTATGTTTCAACAGATATTTATCCTCTTTTACTTAGTTTTCAGTTGTAATCTGTAGAGAAGCAGCTCCACCCTACCCCTTAACCTCGGGCTGACTCCATTCTCTTGAGGCTTAATCTGATGGCAAAACCCATGTCACCAGAGATACACAGGTGACCTCACAAGAGGAACAGAGAGCAGGAAGAGAGAACACCTACCCAGTTCAAGTCCTTCAGTTCTCCCATTGTCCTCTTGCGGGAAGCTGAGGAGTAGGTTGTAACTGAAAAGTCTTCCTGTGTTTTGTAACTGAGAAGAGATGGGTTTTTGTTCTTTAATAATGATTAAAAAAGTAAATAAATGTTGGTATTTTTTAACTACAAGTGGGGCATCTAGAAGATCCTGCAAGCTTCAGGAAACACGATAAAACCTTTGCCTTAGGAAATATCTTTCTGCCAGAAGAATGATGCTTACAACAAAGCTCCCTCATGCTCTTCCCTCGTTACCTTAGAAACTTCTTTTAGACAAAACCGCAGGTCTAAATATACTGCTATAAACCAGAATCTCATCTTAAAACCACTGAGCCTGCAAACCTCTCTAAGATCAAAATAAATTAATTTTTCTAATTTATTGATCTGGTCTACTTTCTGTATTTGGATAAAGCTTCCAATGCTTAAAGGATGCATTCTTGTTTTTAAGTGAAGTCCCTTCCCCTTCTGGTTTACAGCTGGCTTTCTTTGTCCTTCCCGCAATATTCTTGATATGTTGTGTGCATTTGTTTTCAGCCTCCACCAAGAGATCCTAAAAATAAGCTTCCCCTGCTGCTTACAAATATTTTATTCTTTTAGCCATCCCTTTTAATTTCTCTCTGACAAAATTCCTCATTTTCCTGTAGTTTCCCGTTTTGAAATTATTATACCACGGTGCCTTTTGTTGTTGATGTTGTTGCTGGTGGGTTTTGGCTCTGTTGAATCTCAGTGTGTTTGTGTTCACTGCAGCAGAGAAGATTCTGGACGGAGCCGTGGTGAGTCGGGTGGCCTGAGCACGGCGCAGGGCAGTCACGAGCTGCTTCACTTTCTGTGTTTCCTGGTTCGTTGCTCTGCAAGGTGCCTGTTGGTGGTGTCTAAGCGTTCAGTCTCAGCATCATGCCCTAACATGGCATTTGCTTAATTTAATGCGAGTAATTGATGCCTGTCATTGTCACCGTGCTTCCTTCATGGTTGCTCTGGTTCTTTTTGCTGGTTCGTGAGTGCTGTCACCATCCCTGTCTGGCATATAATTCCAACCCGATGCATTTAGTTGTATTTGCCTGGTCTGCTGGGTTGCTGTTCTGTTACCTCTCGATGCAGTTATTTAACCTAATTCGATGGTAATTTTACTTGAGCAGAGAACAGCCCCCTCTGCCTTCCTTGTGTATTTTGTATCCTATTGCTACGACACCCTACTCACATTCCTTCTTCTACCAAGTTTTCGATGTACTTGCTGTGGTAGTGTCTTTGGTTAAAGCTAGCCTTCCCCTCCCTCCATCTTACTCCTTAGACTCCTAGCCTTTTTAGGGAGGGCAGATATGTTTCTTTGGGTTTGTGACATGACCGAGAGAGAATCCCCTCAGATTTCACGAGCTCCACCAGGGACTTTGCTGCTGGATTTCGGTAGAAGACTCTGGAGCACCACAAGAGCAGAATGTGTACATAAGCTTAAGGGAGAAGCACAGGGAAATCCTGGGCTCCTCAACATCGGTAACCATTAGCTGCACATGTAGTGCTTCTTAGAAAGTCCTATTGTCTGTGCAGCTGTCATGAGATTAATAAAACAAACAAACCAACCCCCCCTGGAGCTCATCCGTGGCAGTAAGTGTCATCCTCTCCATAACCTGGGGGAGAGGAGATTTTAGTGCTGAGATTTCAAACAGCTTATGGAAAGTAAATGCCTCTCAGCTCCAGGAGATGACAACGGGAAAGCAAGGTGTAGCCTGGAGGCTAACAGGCCTGTGCATGAGCAGATCTCTATCTACATGGCAGTCCTGCCCCACGCTTTGAAAGGAAGCTGTGCTGGGCTACAGTGGAGGCTGCCCCAGAGAGTTACCCTCTGCCACTGGCAGCAAGTGAACAGTGCATGGTGGTGGTGAAAGTGTGGAGGGGCATCCCAAGGTCTTCAAGGCTGGCCCTCCCATCCTGCCACCCCACCATTGGAGAGGCAGATGAGAGCATAGGACTGACTTGGGAGTGTCCCAGGAAGATGAAATGTGACCGTGCGTCTAAGTCTGTGTCCTGGTTTCAGCTGGGACAGTTAATTTTCTTCCTAGTAGCTGGTATAGTGCTGCGGTTTGGATTTACTATGAGAATAATGTTGATAGCACACGGATGTTTTAGTTGTTGCTAAGTAGTGCTTACACTGGTCAAGGACTTTTCAGCTTCCCATGCTCAGCCAGGTGCACAAGAAGCTGGGAGGGGGCACAACCAGGACAGCTGACCCAGACTGGCCAAAGGGCTATTCCATACCATATGGCATCATGCCCAGTATATAAACTGGGGGGAGTGGGCCAGGGGACAGTGATTGCTGCTCAGGAACGGGCTGGGTGTCAGCTGGTGAGTGGTGAGCAGTTGCATCACTTGTTTTTCCTGGGTTTTGTTCCTCTCGTTGTTGTATTTTATTTCAATTATTCAACTGTTCTTATTTCAACCCACAAGTTTTCTTACTTTTGCACTTCCGATTCTCTCCCCCATCTCAGCGCAGGGCGGGGAGGGTGAGCGAGCAGCTGTGTGGTGCTTGATTGCCAGCTGGGGTTAAACCACGACAACAGGGTGCTGAGGTTAAACCTGTTGCTGTTGCTGAGAGAGCCTTGGGTTTCATTTTGCCTTTAACTGGACCATGGTGGCTGTAGCAGCGCAGCTCTGTGTTTCCACCCAGAGCTTCAGTGCTGAGGCAGGAGCGGGTTTGCTGGGAGGCTCCAGCCAGTGCGAGGTGGCACATGGTGCCTGGGGGGCTCTGGCTGACCTGGGACAGATGCTTCTTCTCTTGGGGTCAGCCACTGCAGGGGCTGGACCAGCCGGCTCTGTGGCGCCGCAGGGGCAGAGCTGTGGCTGACTTGGAAACAGATACACCTCCTGGGAAGCTCAGGCAGGGACTGATGGCTCTGGGCTGGGCTGAAATGGGGCCCTGGGCTGAAGGGCAGAAGTGTGGGGAGGCCCTGGGGAGGCTGGGCAGGGACAGTGATGGCAGCAATGTGCAGAGTGTAGACAGACAGGGATGCTCTAAATAGTTCAGTTCCTCATGGAAATGCCCAGGACACAAGCAAACCATGTAAAACCACCATCAGTTTTCACGTGGCTCCTGTTCACTATGGTTTCTTTTCTCTTTTACAGCTCCGTGTCTGTGGCCAGCAGTTTTGCTGGGCTTGACTATAGGCTTTGGGATACTGAGCATCTCCCTAGCAACTGCTTTGATTTGGAAGATGAGTAAGTGCACAAAGGGGTGCTGAGGATGAGCAACCAACAGCAAAGGACCGGAGACTTGTCTAAGCACAGGAGCTCAGACCCTGAACTCCATTATATGGGGTTAAACCAGAAGCTGTTCTAGGTTTCTACCACCCTTAAGTACTCAGTGCCTATCCAGAATATTTTGAAGAATATATTCCTTGTGCAGACCCCAGGCAACCCATTTCAGATCCTGTGGCAAAGAGCAGTGAAACATATTGAAAGGTTTTTGTAGACTTGTTTGCTGTAATTATAGTGGTAAACTGTAGAGCAAATATGCGAAGTCTATAACACTTTTGCATGCATGCAGAAGGTGCTATACCATGTGGAAAAGCCTACTTATAAAGTAGTTTTGGAAAAACTGCTTAAAATCTGTTCACCTGATGTGTGACATTATCACACCGTACCCACAGAATGATGTAATTTTTTCCCTTGCTTTTTGCACACCCAGAGTGTTGACTGCTTTCAGATGACCAGTTTTGGTTCTCAGGTATCTGAGTAGTTCAGAGGAAACCCAGGGCAGGGGGGGGAGTTGTCCCAGCATCAGAGTGCATGTGACTCTTGTACGAAGATTTGGAAATTGCACAGAGGATCCGAAGTTCAGTGTTCATGCATTGTTATTTTTAGATGCTTACCCTGACTTGTGTTTTCTGCATTACAACTGTCCAGAAGAGTTGCTTTTCAGCAGGTCCTTGCTGACAAGTGTCTTTCTGTTGGTTAATGGTAGAAAACAGCTGGTATTTTGATTCCTTTACAGGTGACTCCCACCCACTCTGCCCTGAGCAGTGGATAGCCTACAGAGGGAGCTGCTACTCTTTCTCCAAGCAGAAGAAGGACTGGCATTCCAGCCAGGAATCCTGCAGGGCACAGGGAGCTCATCTCCTGGTGATGAGCGACACCAGCGAAATGGTAATGGTTTTCTTATTCTTTGAGGATCTTCCATTTCCTTGCAGATACCTCAGTGATTGACATCTAAGGAGTGCTGTCACTCTAGCAGTATTTTGACTTTGAAGGAGAGGAAGGATTTATGACTGCGACGTTATAGTGCACTTCCAATTTCAGCATGCACCTTACCAGTTCCCAGCAGGCAAAGAAGCAAAGGGGAGAAGGGAGAGGTGAGGGTCACTGTCAGCTACTCAGAATCATCCTAGGAAGGATGTTAGGAGACAGTCTTCTCCACTGCCCCTCTCCACCTCCCCTCCTAGCCCCAACAAGGCTGATATGAATGATTACAGGAAAAGACTGTGGCACTGTGCAGTCTCTGTACTCATTGCCTACAAACCAATACATCCTCACTCTTCAGAAATGCTTCCTTTGCAAAAGCAGTGCCTCTCCTCCCTGCAACCACTCCAGCTCCTCCTGCTCAGTGACCCTTGCCACTCCCTGTGTTCATGCATGGATATTTCTTTCTCAGTCTGTTTTCAATGCTTACTTCCTCTCTCTGCCCAAAAACCTCAGTTGTGCTGGTGCAATCAGAAGCCATCTGTCCCACTGCTCATTTTTCTAGTATGTGCTCACTGGGGGCAGGGGCATGTATGACCACTAAAGAAATGGGTAGAGCTGATCACTAAGGAGGTGAGGCATGTCTGCACAAGTAGAGCAGAAGTACTTGATCTGGTTTTGTACAAGCCAGTGCTTATTAGCTCAGGTCCAATGAACGTGGACAGCTTCCAGTCCCTGGACAGAAGTTGCATTGTATGATGTTCTGTGAGGGCTTACAAAGCCAGGTCTCTGCTTGACTGGGAGTATGTACCAGGCTCTCACACTTTCTTAGGCAAATCCTGATTCCTTGAGAAATACTTGTCTTCCCCAGATTACCAATTTCTCTGAGTGAAGAAAGCCTTCCTGGTCTGGCTGCTTTCTTACTACTGTCTCTGCTACTAGAGTGTTATCCATTATCCTTGCTCAAGTCTGAGCAGTAAGCAAGCCCCACATAAGCAAGACTCTCCTAGCTATCCATGCCCTATGCTGCAAAGGCCGTGACTGTTCACCCTCCCTTTGCCAGGGAAGCACAGTCACCTCCAAACCACCAGCAACACTCAAGCATTACTCAAGCTACTCCTATTCCGACCACTTTACCAAGCCAGCTTTGTTAATGCTTCTGTGTGAAGATGTCTGCTCTGAAGCTTTTTTTTATAGCAGCAGGAGATAAGGATGGGGCCCAGCCATACCACTGAAAGGTTGCTGTTGTTGGATTTCATTGGAAATGTGGACAAGACAAACTTCTCTCTCTCTTGTCTTTGTCTTTTTTTTTGGGGGGGGGCAGGCATATTTTACTTCAGGGCTGAGTTTCTGTTGCAGGCTTCACCTTTTAACAGTAAACAGTAGTTAAAGGTTAGGCAAAAGGAAATGAACATTGAAAACACGTAGGAGGAAAGTTTGTACAAAATTTAATGAGCTTTGGTCCTGGGCTCTTTACACAGATCTGTTGGTGCCTGCACCTCCTGCCCTGACCTGATTTTACCTTTAATTGTTAATACTTTGTATTAGCTTGCTAGCTAGCTGTATGGTACAGCATTAATATTAATACTAGTAGCATACGTTCCGACATAAAGCTCTGTGTAGGAAACTCCAGGAGACTGGGCTGCAGTTAGTTCACATACATTGCCCTGAGAAATGTCCTTTGAAGAATCTGCCCAGGATCCTTGAAAGCATGCTTACTTCCTTGTGAGTGTACACATAGCTGTTTTTCCAGGCATGATCTGCAGGGCTGATCTTTCTGATTAGAAAGTGTGGAGAAGCAGTATTGTTAGCCACTTAAGGAACAGTCAGGCGAGGGGATGTGTCTTGCACTCTGTTCTCTTTACTTATCCTTACCCCCATTTTCAGGCTGGCTGCCATTAGTCACTTTGTAATTCATCACCATTTCTAGGACCTGTTCAAGACTATTCAAACAGGATGTTTCTGGATTGGACTGAGGAACAGCACAGACTCTGGCTGGATCTGGGAAGATGGCTCTATACTCAATGGCACCAAGTGAGTTTCATTCTGTTTTAAAAACAACAGTACTAATTCAGATTGCCTGGTGTTCCACAACACCCAGAGTTCCTGCACCAGATCTCAGGAGCTTTCTTGGGCAGATTTTCTTCTTACTGTCACCTGTATGGCACTGAACTCAAAAGGGTCTACTTTTTACTGCCCTACACCTTGTAAAGGCATGTACCTGTGAAAAGTAGGGCTAATGTTAGTATCTCTCTACTTCCCTCCAGCTGCTCAGACCAAGGATTATTTACCTGCAGTGCCCACACAGTTGCTCAGTCAGAAAAGCATATGCTCCATCTTGGCTTTACTGGGTTTAGCCACCTTGCACCCATTCTGCCAAGTGCTGGTGTCACTGGGTGTGAGGACCCAGCCCTTTGCTGCTTCGCTGGTGGCAACCCAAGTTAGAACCTTAATTTTGCTCAGTATTTATTTGGAAAAAACTCAGCATTCTGCATAGGGAAAACATTATGATTTGGCCAGTGACTTTGCCTGGCCCTTTCCTTTTTATGGCAGTTAACACAATGAGTTAGTCTCTAACACTTCTCCAGCAAGGAAACTTGCCCAAGATCTTGCTGTTGGTAGGTCAGTACTCTAAGCACTTGACTTAGTTCCCTTCTTAAATCCAGCTTTCTGTTCTTACAAACTCTTTGGAGGCAATCATCTTTCCATGAAAGTCTTAGCACGCTGTTCTCACGCTGGTGGATATCACTGCAGGGGATTGTGTCTATGTTTGGTTCTGATTTGGATTCCACAATGGCAAAATTACTTAGATGTGTAATCTCCTGGTAGATAGGTATTTTGGTGTACGTTTTGTTTTCTAACAGCTGCCCTTTGGAGGCTGGGTTCTTTCACTTCCTCTGGGCTCCACCCTTCAAAATCAGATGTTTTTTCTTTCTTGCCTCCAGGAGACAATCTCTCAGCATTTTCTCTCAGTTTCACTTTTGTTCCGTGTCTCTTGCAGGGTCCTCTCTAACAGCCCTGTACAACACTGTGTTGTCCTGATGCATGGACAATTTCAGGCCTCCAGCTGTGAATTTACCGCTCCATGGATCTGTGAGAAATCTCTTAGATAAATCCCATGTGCATTTTCATCTCATAACCACCTCGTCAGCGGTACAAGTGGATCATTGTCCTGCAAACCAAAGCTCTATACAAGAACAACAACTGGCCTTTTCTACACCCTCACAAAGGTGTTTTGCAAGGACAGGTTTGTTGCCCATAAGGGTGAGTTATCCTCAGCAGCAGATCCATTTTCAGCCTGCCTCTGTTGGGTTACTGCTGTTTGTGACCAGATGAGACCTGGGACACATTCACTGCCCTAGTCTTTCCTTACTTGTCCTATAAGGGCAAACAAAAGTTTTGTCACAACAGATGCTGGGTCTTCAGATCTCTGAGGGTGAGCTGGTCATTTTCCTCCATTCCTGAGCATCAGATTTTGTTTCCATTCTCTGCATCTCCATTGTCTGGTGCCAGCAGGACCAGGAAAACGAAGTCTGCTGTTCACTGCCAGAAACATATAAACAGACTCCTCCCAGTGGCAGCCTCTCCTTTTGCATCCCAGTGCTGTGAGTGGAAGAGGGTGAAATGAGACTACAGCTTCTGTAAATCCAGCAGTGAAAATAAACCTCCAGTACTGCAGTGGACCAAAAGTGTGTACCCATGTCATTACTTCTCTCTGTTGGAAGGAACAGCTGCACGCCATGTTTCATAGGTCAGCTTCAACCAAACTAGTCAAGAGGCTGGACTTGCGGAGTCAAAAGAATACAGTTAATTGTGTGTTATTATAGAATCAATCAGGAATGCGTTTCCCTCTCCACCTCTGCAGTTTCATACTGCAGAGAGAGGAAGCAGTGGACAAACCCTTACTACAAGCTTTCAGTTCAAATAGAGCAGAGAGAGGCTAAGAGTGGGAACGGCATAAAGCCACAGTGAACATTAAGGGTGGGACAGTAAGTTGCATTTCCACACACCTGGAAAACTCTTTTTTCCACCGAGTGATTTTGTTCCAACAAAGGAAGAGAAATTTTATTAATTTCCAGTTTATTCTATTTATCGTAATATATTTGTATTGTATTCCAATTTACTATTATCAGCAGGTTAGTGGTAGATGTTCTGAGGTGTGTGTTTGTTCTGGGAGAGACAGGCTGGAGAAATGGGCTGACAGGAGCCTTGTGAAGGAGAAGGTCAAAGTCCTGCACCTGGGGAGGAACAACCCCATGCACCAGTACATGCTGGGGGTCACCCAGCTGGAAAGAAGCTTTGCAGAAAAGCACCCAAGGGTCATGGTGAACACCAAGTTGAACGTGAGCCAGCAATGTGCCCTTGCTGCAAAAGAGGTGAATGGGATCCTGGGCTGCATTAGACAGACCATTGCCAGCAGGTCGAGGGAGGTGATCCTTCCCCTCTGCTCAGCACTGGTGAGGCCACGCCTGGAGTGCTGTGTCCAGTGCTGGGCTCCCCAGTACAAAAGAGATATGGAGATACTGGGGAGTCCAATGAAGGGCCACAAAGGTGATGAAAGGACTGGAGCATTTCACATACGAGGAAAGGCTGAGACAGCTGGGATGGTTTATCCTAGAGAAGAGGAGGCTGAGGGGAGATCTTATTAATGTATCCATAATGTATATGTATATATGAAAGTAAAGAACTAGGCAGCATGGTGCATGGCAGGGAAGGGCTAGGGAGAAACTAATTGATCCAAACACCGGAGTTTTCATCTGAAAATGCTAGATCAGGGGTTCATGAGGAGGATTACAAATAAGTTGGAAGTGATTGTTACTGGGATTGATACTGCTGTGCCACATGTACATAAGCGCTACAAACACCTGTGAAATCACAGAGAAAACAGAAACAAGATCTTGTTTCCAAAAAGAAAATTGCTGTTTCCCCCAGCAATTTTCTTTTCAAATAATTGAAATTGTCCTTGCATCACCTGGTTTAAAGAATGCAGTCTTGACCAATCCAGTTGCAACGAAACAGCAAATTCCTCACTCTGCCATTTACAGAATGCCTTCAACTGCATATCCCTGGTATGTGAGGCTTGACATTCATTGAGGATATAGCACATGAAGGAATCGGGGCAGATGAAGACAAAAATACAGACCTTAGCGTACCCAGCTAAGTAGATGTCTGCTGAGCCTCACATAGAGTTCACTGAGCTGAGGGGCTTAAGGTGGGAACGTTGCCAGCAAGGGTAGGTCTGCTTTTCAATAACCATGTGTTGTGGTTTACCTCCAGCAGGCAGCTAAGCACCACATCGTGCCAGTAACAGTCAGACCTGGGGAAACTGCAAGAAAACCACAGTATTTTAAGCAGCGTACTAGGGCCTAAAAACCTTGAGTTTTCATCTCAGGTTGTCTGGGTTACTTTGGGTGAGTCATTTTGTCTGTGGCAGAGTCCATTCAATATTAAAAGAAGATGCTCTCCCTGACTCCCAGAAAGTTGCCAGGCCCTATGAAATAATGCTGGAGATTTTGCCTGCTTTGTCAAAATGGTGGTAGCATCTACAGAAGGAAACCCAGCATTTGCTTTACCAGAGAACCGTAGTGAAGAAACAGCTTCTCGTGTTACCATGATGCATGTAGGTGAGGTGAGCACGTCTCTGAGCTTGCCTCGTTTACCTTGTGAATAGTGCAACAGCTTTGCTTCCCCTAGGATTTTACAATGCAGTGCATGCTCGACTATTTTACTGATGAGCTCTTCAAACATGGCCTCTCAATCTCATCCCAAAGAGATGCTCAGGAAATGTAAAATAAATAAATACATTAGGTTGCCTCAAAAGTTGACTGATTTTTGAAGGGAAAGGATTTTCAGCTGCGGATTTTACCTTTAATGATGCACGTGGCTCCTCTGTGGGTTCAAGTTTTCACAATACTAAAGGGATCTGAAGCAAGTATATTAATTTCCATGAAAAGCAGTTGAACAAATATCTTTGGCAGAGCTTTTAATCTTCTGTCTAGAGCATGTTGATATAGTTGATTGATATATACTAGTTTTCTTGGAAGTAAGTTCTTCTTGGATGAACTCTGTAAGCAGCGATGAATGAATGCGGGAGGAGCACAGCTAGCAGATCGAGGTAAGTTACAATCCTCATTCTCCATGGCATTTCTGAGGCTGCACTTGGACTGTGTCTGGTCTGCTGACCCCTGGTTCAAGAGGAACACAGAGAAACTGGAGACGGTCCAATGGAGGACTACCAAACTGGTCAGAGAGTATGGAGCATATGACCCACAGGGAGTGAGAGGGGGAGCTGTGCTTGTTTAGTCTGACCTGGAGGAGGTTGGAGTGATTAAATAGGTGCCTACAAATACTTGAAAGACAGTTACAAGGATGTTGGAACATGACCTTTCTTGGTAGGGGCAGAAGATATAACATGGGGCAATGGCGGCAACCGCAGCTTGGGGAGTTCAGATTGGACATGGGGAAAGACTTCTTCACCAGAGATTAGTGCAACACTGGAACAGATCACTGGAGAAATGGTAGGTTCCTCATCCTTGGAAGTTGTCAAGATTTGACTTGACAAAGTCACAGCTGACCTGATCTAGCGTTGGCAGCAGTCCTGATTTAAGTGAAAGGATGGACTAGGTAACTTCTAGAGCTCCCTTCCAACCAGCACTTCTGTGATGCTATCAATGAATGCAGCAGGCTTCTTGGTTCAGATACAAGATACTTAATGCTCTTTTTGCACAACTGGGGCACCTCTCCCTTTGAGCTATGCCAGTGACAGAACTTCAGATTCACTGAGAGAAATCCAGGAAAGATATCCCTAAAACACACTCTCCTCATGGATAGGCCAACACCTTGCAGGAGTTTTCTTGAGAAGCTTAGAGGTAACCACTTAAAATCTAGTCAAAAAACTCTAGAAAGCCTGTTGGCCGCCTCAGTTGTACTCACAGCAGGTGGAAATCGCAGGAGAGAGAGGGAAAACTCATTGCCAGTGCCTTGTTTGTGCCACCACCTACAAGCCAAATCACATGGGCCATGTAGAGACCCTTGAAATTAGGCTGCTGGGGCCCAAGTTGCTATTGGGAATGGGATGGAGGCCAAGCAGCTCGGGGACAGATTTTAAAAGTCAGTTTGATATCTGTGCGTGTTCATTGGTACCTACTGAGATTCTCAAGCCTTTAAAATCTTGCCCCCTTTCAACTGACTGAAAACATTTCTCTTCAGTTTTTGGCTACACAGCACATTTTTGACCAAGGTCCTAATGATCGGGAGCTGGCTTGTCAGCGGTGTAAGCTGTTTGGCTGTTTGCCAAAAGAGTAGCCCTAGCTTCCTCTGCTGTGTGCAGTTCTGCACCTCTTTCCTGTAAGGTTTGTGTTCAATCAGTCCGGCTCCCGACCTGTTCGAACCAATATGCAAAGTGTCATCTTCAAACAGGCTTTGACCACCCCAGGTGCAAGTCCTCTTCTCTGCGGGTGAGGCAGATCTTCCTGGGTTACGTGTCTTTTGGGCAGGTAGAGCAACCTTTAGGCATCAGATGGAGAAGGCAGGGCACAAGCCTGTGCTGTGTTTCTTTTGTGCAGTCCCCAAGGAAACTGGACGTGCACTACTATCCTCTCATTTCCCATTCAGGTCACTGCAGGGCAGAATGAGGTCTGTAATGAAGGTTTATTGTCTCATTGCACTTGGATTTCTTAACTCCAAAGCTCCTGAGCTCACTAAACTTCTGATGATGATAGTAAGAGAGGGGAAGGACAGACAGAATCATTTTATCCTGCACCCTTTTTAACCTGAAAATTATGCTTTACATCCTCTAACACAGATTTCCATTCTTTGGAGTTTGGGTTAGGACTGTAAGCAAGACAGATGTTCTACTGCCACTTGCAAGGGTAATAATTACCAGAGCTATTGATCCTCCTGCTGCAGACCAAGATAACGACAGAACAGACAATGGTCAAAAAGAAATTCCCCCCTCTGATACAACATCACCCATCGTGGATTTTCACATAATGAAACCAAGAAGGACTCCATTGAACAGCAATAATTTGATCTAGATGTGCCAATAACTTGACCTGGAACAAGAACCAGCACAGGCAAACAAGACCCAGGCCACGTCTGTTCTGCTGTGTGA